AGATGTCTTAACTTAGTGTCTAAGTTATTGGAGTGAGATTATGAATTCTAGAATCTGTTTGACTCTAGCATTTTAGACAATCTTTAGAAATATATTCTTTAAAGAAGATTAATAGTGATGTAATTATTATTTGAGAAGGTAATTTTCTCCCGTTATCACTGCTGATCATACCTACTTTAAATAATGACTTAATTTGAGTATTATTTCATTCTTTGTCTCTTACCTTTATTTCTTTCATGTTAGATGTGATGCAAGGTTAACTTTTTATGCAGTCAAGCATTTTTTAAAACCATTTTTGAATGACAGTCTCTTAAAAGGTTGTTCATTACCCTATTTCTACACATTATATTTAATAAAATTTTTTCTTGTGACTTTATAGTCATTAATACAAAAAACCAAGTATTGTACTCTGCTGCTGGCGATGCCTCATTTAAAATTTTGGCTACATATTTGCATATATTCTTTTTATTACTATAATTCTGGGGAGTTTTTAGCTCTCTTTTCTTTTAATCACCTTTATGTGGTACCACTCTAAAGAACAGAGCAGTCATGTCTATAGGCATCTATAAAGATTTTTATTAAGTAGACTCACTATGTAAAATACACGGAATGAAATATGAAGTAAAACGTAGTAGCTATCACTGGTCCAGTATAATAAATCATGAGCCATTAAAAGATATGGATGTTGTTCTAATATTACAAATAGGATGGACAAAATGGTTGACAAATCATGAGGAAATCATGAACTAGAAATAGATGGATCATGGTTATGATTAAATATTGATTCTTGTGTGATTTTGGTCTTTCCTTTCTAGCCACATCTTCATTTGGCAGACACACAATGCTTTATTTATTATTTGCTGTTTGCTGAAGGTGTTCATCAGTGAGATGTCAGAGGAAGAATTACAACTTCATTTTATATATGAAGAAAAATCTCCTGGCAGTTGCAGTAAGTATTGCCTTTGAAGATGTTCTGGATATATCACATATAACATTATAAAGATAAAATTGGCCAGGTGAGGTGGCTCATGCCTGTAATCCCAGCACTTTCGGAGGCTGAGGTGGGAGGTTGCTGGAGGTCATGTTTTCAAGACCAGCTTGGGCAACATAGTGAAACTCTGTCTCTACGAAAAATAGAAAAATTAGCTGGGCGTGGTGGTGTGCACCTGTAGTCCCAACTACTTGGGAGGCTGAGGCAGGAGGATCACTGCAGTCCAGGAGTTTGAGGTTGCTGTGAGCTATGATCATATCATGGTACTCTAGCCTGAGTGACAGAGCAAGACCCTGTCTTAAAAAAAAAAACCCAAAACCATTTTTAGATGGCAAAAATCATACACAAATTCTGGTTATTATCATTTAAATATATTAGGGAATTATGTTACATTTTGAGCAAATCAAAAGCCATGGCATAGCAAAATAATAGTTTCTAGTACTTTTAACTCAAAGTGGTAGAGTGACTATGTGTACTTATCTCTTTTCCCTTCTGAGACACCTGATAGTAAAGGAATTTCCTACAATTAACATCAAACAATTTAGGACAGTCAGTTACTTCATCCTTTTTTAGGCTCCTTATGGCCTCTTTCAAGATTATGAAAGGGTTTTGGAGAAATAGAATATAAAATTCTGTTTTACTGTAATCTTTTTCTTCATTCTTATCCTCAGTGTATTTCCAACTTAGAGAAGGACATCCTTCATGACCCATACTTTGAAAATGTGATTTTACAGTCTTCTAATATTTTAACATCTGTTCTTTGGCAGGGCATTCCGATAGCCATTTTGTAGGTTCATGTCTGAGGAGGCTGTTTCCTTGTTTCTGTAAAGTGAAAATCTTACTAAGTTCTTCTGCAGGTTTTGAGGAAACTGAAAGTGGCAGATATCACAGGGAAGGAAATCACTTTCTTATATTAATAGCAATGCTGTGTTCAAGGCGTACAGAACATTTAGCAAGCAAGAGCTTTTCATTTTCTTTGGTAAGAACTTTGTAGACTGAATGGAATTTGCTGGAAATTACATGTGCACTGTCTCCCCAATATGCAAGATAGATGAGCAAAGTGTAGTTCGTGTTTGAACAAGATATAAGCAATCTTTTGCTTTATGTTTTCTCTTTAATTTTTGTAGAAATTCTTTTTCTCTAATGATACTGGGAAATTATGGGTTGAGTTTGTTTTTATTCAGATTTCTTCCCTGAGAGTGTGATTAAAAATTACAAAATTAAGTTTGTTTCTTAAGTGCTCTAAAGTTTCTTTCCAAACAAAGGATGTAGTTGCCTGGTTGCAGGGAAGCTAAATCATATGTTCTACTTTTCTTTTAAAGCTATTATCCTTCATTTCATAGCTAAAAAGTGATATTAGCTATTAACTATGTGATAGCTATTACCTTTGGTATTATTAAGCAAGCATATCAATATTAGTTTTAGCCGTTTTACTTACTGTCATTTTTTATTGCCCCTTCTGTTCTAGAAGACCCATTTCATGGGAAATCATTCATTGTTTTGCCCAGGTTGAGTTAGTATGAACTGCTCCCTCATTAACTTTGGGTTAATGAGGGGAAGAGAGGAAGGAAAAGAGATATAGATTCTAAAATCTCTTTGCTGTTAAAAAAAAATTTTAAATTTCAAATGCTATACCATGTTATAATTTATCACGTAAAGATTAAGTTCCTGTAAAGGATGAATAAAATGATAAAGAGCAGAAATAATTTTTTTTTTAAAGTCAAGGCAAGTATAGCTGGGGGTGGGGGGAGAGAGAGAGAGGGAGAGAGAGAGAGTGAGTGTGTGTGTGTGTGTGTGTGTGTGTGTGTGTGCGCGCGCGCATGCGTGCACACGTCTGTGTCTTTTCCCCCTTCCCATTTTGTAGCTGTGAGACCCCAGGTATTTGGGTCCTTGGATGAAAACGTTTACCTTATTTTTTCAGGTGAAGCAACTCTCTAGTTCATTGTAGATCAGATGTTCCTTCCTTGAATTCTGTGCCATCTACCCTGGAGTAATGGCTGCTGCACCTTTGAGATTCTGCTCTAAGGAAGACAGGCAGCCAGCTTTTGTTTAGACTACTTTCTATTAAGCTACCTTGGAGAAGGGTGACAAAGCACTGGAAGCAAATTGGACCTTCCTGCATTTTAGAGATTGAGCATTTGTCATTTCACCAAAACTTATTTCAATCATAAAAGGCCTTTTTGACTCCACATTTGATTACTGGTACTGAAAAAACAGGAATTTCTTCTTCTTTTTTTCCCTATAAATTAGTCATAGGCAAAATACATTTTCTCTTTCTCTCTTACTCACTAAGAATGAATGGAACATAATAACATCAAGACCTTCTAGATTACTTCTGAATATAGCTAGATTTTTTTGCTTTTCTTGGTTCTCCTTCTGAATCAACTGTTATGTTCTCTGAGATACCATATAACTAACTATATGGTATAGTCATGGACTTAATCAAGGATTTTGTGAAAATTAAGTTGGTGTATGAGAAATTCTGGTGTTTTGAATGTTACGAACTTTATTCTAGGAGGGAATGTTTGTGAGAATTAGGTAGAATCAAATTAATTTAATGTAACTATCTCCGAATCACTCCATCATCTTTCACAATTACTGTTTATCATTCAGCATTGATTTTCAAAGCTTGTGCTTTATACATTGATTTTTAGTTTTAAGAGATAAATATGTTTAATTCACTACTTTGATAGTTTGCCTTCTACATTTGTTAAATATATACTGATACCTAAACAGAGCTTTTAATTAGAATTGTGTCTTGCATGTGTCAGTTTTGTTAACGCTAGTCTTCATGTTTGTGGTGCCAACAGTACCAAAAACATAGTTCTACTTGGTGAGTTGCAAACCTTTCCACAAAGTCCTAGCCTTGAGAATGGGTGAATGTTTATACCCACAGGGCCTAATAGCATAGTCCAACCAACACTTGCAAACCCAACATTTTGTTTTATATTGTGCCCTAAAAATTATACATATTTTATGTGTTATTTACCACAACATCATTTTTATTTTAATGTAAAATTATTTTTCATTACACTCCATTGAGTAAATTGATGCGCTTGAGAGATACAATGTATGTATTTTGGGGCCAAACATCTTCCCAGAGTATTCTCTTTGCCTCTGCATCCTCAACCCTTCTCCAAGCTTGAGAAGCATTTTTTCTTGTTGTACATCCTAGGTAACTTAACTTAGGGGTGGTGGGAAAACAGTACTTTTTCCTCCATAGGCCACATTATCAAGGTGGTTGCCTCACTGAAGGAGTCATCTCTGTGGTCTGATGATCGGTGATTCTGTGTACTGACAGACTGACCCCTTCTTTTATATGGAGTTAACAATTCAGGATTTTATACATAATCTTTAATGCTGTATTTTGTTTATAATGGAGCCCACTGTTGGTCTACCAGCTTGAGTCCAGTGAATATCTTTCTAAGGCTGAAAACTTTCTGTTTTTGGCATATGTAATTATTTTCATCTTAGTCTTGCATGTTGTTAATACGAGATTTCTACTTTAGCCCTTTTTATATTTTCCACCAATTTCTTTTTACAATTTATACAAGAGCAATACAATTAAATTATTACTGCTGAATGGGAAAAAATAGAACCTCGCTGTGCAGTAGCTGATAAAACATCCATTTATCAGCTGATGTATGAATGTCTGAATTGGGTGTGTGAAAGACTCTTTGGAGTAGATAATATACAGTGGCACAGGTTGTTTGAAGGTTGAATTTACAAAAGTAGAGGACCATCTGCAAACAATTGAGCAAAGTCAACTGAGGCATCTTAGGTATGTTGGCTTATTCTACATCAGCATTTTTTTCTTTATCCCAATCCATTGTAATTTTGCTATGATCACATGGATATTGCTGGCATTTTCAGTGAAGCTGTCTTTATGAGAGTAAAATGTGACTATCAGTGAGCTCTCAGTTTGTAATCTAAATTTGTGAGGATTTTGTATTTGAACATTTTCCCATAGGCTATGTATGATGTGGGAGCAGATTGTTAGAGAGAATTTGTGTCATTATATGAGGATAGCTCTTTCCATTGTTCTATGCCTTTGAGAGTTAGTCAAAGGGGACAAAGCTAGCCCTAGGCAAAACTATGAAGCACTACAAAATTGTTTCCATTTTCCTTTTGCCTTCAACGTGAGTTTTCCTTTCTTCTATCTTGGTATTATGCCCCATTCTTGCCAAGGTAATACTGATATTTATTTTACATTTCGTGTCTCATAAATCCAATATTTTAAGTCCTTAGGGGCCTAAATCTGTTGTTTGTTTCTGCAAACACTTCTGATGGCTTGTTTCCTTATGTATTTGATGATGTTGATTATATTTTTTTGATCCTAACCTGAGGCCCCAATTAAGGGAGGAGTTACATTTACTTCTAAAGAGAGCCAGGGTCTGTACCACCTGCTGCCACTCTAGCCTCCTTCAACAGCTCTTGATGGTTTTCAGGTTCAGCTTCCCTTCCTCGATACTGACTGCAGGCTTAGTCTCCCAGTAGTGGGCTTCCCTGCATTGGCATTTGTCTTCAGGGTTACACTGCCTTAGAGGTTGCTTACTGCTCAGTGGTTTACTCTGGATTCGTGTTCACTTATTTGCTTGAGGTTGCTCTTTTTGGTTGTGGTGTTGGGGGTCTTTGGAGATTTTGTTTACTTTATGGAGCCCATCAATGCACTAAGAAGTATTATTTTAGCCAAAAACTAAGTTTCGTACGGAGGGCTCATTGGCGTAACTACTACACCTCACTGCTGCTAGTGGAAGCCAATTATAGTTTCTTTACAAGTATTTTTTATTTTTGTAAAATGAGGAAAGAAGTCTTTGGAGACTGAGAGACTGAAGATAGACACAATGAAGGGAAAAACAAAAAGCTGATGGGAAGGTTCGGGGAAGTAGGAGGTGCTAGGATGAAGACAAGAGAGGGAGTGTGGGTTTGCTTTGGAAGAGTACCACCTGTGCCCGAGG